AATGAGCCACCATCACGCACACTCTCACCCAGACAATTGGCCTGCTCAATGGCCGCGTCCTTTGGCCCCATCTTTTCAAACCCCTACAGTACATCCCAACTCGTCCTGTGCTTACGCTAATGTAAATATTTTTCGCCAGCTTCGCTGTTGTCGTGTGCCACAATTATATATGCAGTTCAGAGGGTCTAAAGTTTCCCCCCCACCGATTGACAAACTGACAAAGTGTCAAACTGAATGACTGCTGGATGCTGGCGATGATGTCATTGTTTATTGATTCATCTACTTCCAGCACGTTTCTGTTTATTTTTGGCCAGTGCATTAAGTCAAAAGACTAATTTGCCGGGCCGAAACTCAGTGTCCACCTCATTAACAAATTCAGTGTGTGGGCGTGACCGGGGCGTCGTTGCTTCCAGTTCATTTGGCCGAAATGCAAATGGGTCCTTGCCTCCTAATTAGCCATGGGGCCAGTTTGTAGATTTTAGGGCCCAAAATGCAGGATCATTCAACCAGGGGAATGGGCAAAGTGGCAGCGAGAATATTTCAGGCGCCTTCAGAAAATGTCAAAAGTGTATATAGTACAGTACCTCGCCATTGGCATTGATGTCAAATAAATTCTTTTGTAGGTCAAAGGGCAAGCTGCGTACGCAACAAGATGTCCCCAAAATACAGCCCAAAAATAAACACCAAAAACAAAATCCAAAACCCAAAATCCTCAAGTTAAAGTTAGAACTTTGACGTAAAATGTCGATGGATTTGACGTACTACATTGTTACAGATACGTCCCTTCAAAGCCTCCTTTTTTAAAAGCCACAATTACCGTAATTAATTAATTAATTTAATTAGTTTTTAGGTAGACAAAAAAGGTTTTATTTTAAAGGACTTGGTCGTAGTAAAAAATCTGTCATTAAATTAATTAAAATGCAAGGTCTAATAGCCGTTTATATTAAAATGTATCGCCAAACACAAGTGTCTTACACATTTAATAGGTTTTTTATGGGCATTCATAATAATTGAGTTTGAGTTGAAATATCTATCCATAAATAAATCAAAAAAAGAGGAAATTTTATTTAAATAAAACGGAAAGTCCGAAAGGTCCATGGAAAAATGTTTAATAAAATTCCCTCAAACAGCGATGAAATTCTTAGCAAACAAATTAAAGATGGTTAAGGATCTCTAAGGCAACCAATCTGTCTGCGAAGTCTCAATTTGTCTGATCTGTCGCTGGTCGTCGAGTGGCCTGGAAACCGGCCATTTGCATATCCATTCCCGCCTATTACGCTGAGCTACACACACACACACACACACAACAACAACAACAAACTACTGAGTGGAACCCACAAGTTGCGGCAGACAACCTGTCGCTGTAGTAAAATTTTCCACCCGCTCGCCTGCAGCCGCCCACGCTCATTCTTGTGACGCGGAAAATGGGAAAAGGTCGGGGGCTGTGCCTCTGACAGACAGACGGACAGACCGACAGACTGATAGACGCATCTCCAATATCCATTTCCAACTAATTTGCGTAATATTTGACAGGAGCGAGGAGACGTCGATGAGGAAGGTCCACAAATCGATGATCTTTTCGCCGCCAAGTGGCCACTTGAGGACCGAGCGGTACTCAAATTACAAATTAAATCAACCGCCACGGTATGAAAATGTTGGTTTGAGTGTGAAGGAAAAACTAAAGGCGTGCGCATAAACTATACATCTACAAATACATTTACATATACATATACATATACATATACATACAAAATCCCGCAGGAGCACACGCACAGGATATGGGCGTGGGCGTGGTCATGGGAGCCAGGACTTGTCAAACGGAGGCGTCCTGTCCGGTTTGGTCGCCTCAGACCCCCTGGGTGTTGTTACTAAATTAGCTGGAAACCGGACCAGCAGGATCGTAAATTGTGAACGCGTTTTAATGATGTCAAGTTGTAAACGCAGCCGCAGGTTTCCCGGGAAATGTGTTTCGGGTTTATTGAAGTTCTGTTTTTTCGGGAGCGTATTCCCATTTTTGTTTTTTTTTTTTTTTTTTTTTTTGTGGCGCAGGAGCAAACTCTTTTGGTCGTTAGGGACCAGCAACCGAAAACGGAATTTATGGGTACTTAGAAAAACATTTTTCCTAAAAGCAGTATGGTTTTAAATGCAAGAAAATCGATTTACTTTTAAGATGGATTAACGAAATAAGTTCTGTCCTGTTACTTTGAACTTATGTCAGTTTTAGATTTATATTCCATTAAAATGTTTACTCTTTAATTGTTTTGTTTTCTATAAATTAACACAAAAATATATATACCTAACCAAAGTACGTTGTATTAATATTATACTGCTTTTCGATTATACCGAAAATGTAAAAAGTTTTTTATTTATAGTTAAAAGAAATATCAAAAACTACGGTAACTTCCTTTTTATGATGAAATTTGTCAGGGATTTTTAAAAAGTGTAAGTGTTTAAACACCGCAGAACACGAACGCATTATCCCGGGCTACCGTGTTTTGGTTTTTTTTTTTTTTTGACACATGTGTGGACTCTCACGGCGATGTCTTTTTATCCGTATAATCGTTTTCCAGTGTAAACACTTAGGGACAATTGTAATTTTACCAACTACCAGCGAAAGTGTGAAGTGAGGAGCGACGGGTGGCAAAGCGTTGACGTTTTCACAGCTGACACTTGATGACGTTATGCGGAAATAAACACACACACATACGGACGCAGAAATGTGGGAAAAGCGGAGCTGCTGGCAAGGAAAAATTCGAAATAAGAAAATGCGAGAGTGAGAGGGAAAGCAACGACAGCCATAACAATGAGGAAAATTGTGCAAACATGCGCATAAAATGAAAACTCATTGATTGTCTCATATTGAATTTTCGGTACATCTCTCAATCTGCAAAAACCTTGCCAAATCAGTTGTTCAATGATGGAAAGATACAAAAGACGAGAAAGAAAAGTGGAAAACCCGGTAAGGTACAGATAATGAACTAGTTCAATTTAATTTAATTGGCTAATCTGTTTCAAGGGAACTTGCCCACTTTTGTTTTACTTGTGGCTTAGCCCTTTGCCGCACTAAAAAAGTTAATTGATTTAATTTAATTTAATTTAAGTTATCAAGACAAGAAAACTAAGAACTTTTGTAAGGCCACGGAAACAAAGAAGTTTGAACTAAATTATATTAGTTTCTTATGTATTTCTTTCTACAAAAGACAATGCTTAATTTGCTAAGTTTGGGACAAAAAGAAACTTGACCAAAGTGTCAGCAAAATCAATGATTCTGATAAAAAAAAAAGTTAACAAGCTCTAACTTAAATTGCAATTCAATTCATTTACTTCAATTTGGTTTCAATTATAAAAGTGTAGAGCTGGTGTAGATTTGTAGATTAAAGCAAATTGAACAGAATATTTAATTGCCAGCAGAGTAAACTGAATTGTGGATAATTCTAGCGAAAGATTTTGAAACTCAAAACTTGGCATAGAAGTGGCCAGCAACCATCCCCATTTCTGTGCTGGCCAGCAATGAAATCGCATTTAGCTCACGGCCATAACAATGTCGCCATTAAACTTGAAAGTGTTAATTAAAAATTAAAATTGATTGCCCGACAGGACGAGACCAAAGCAGTCGTCTTCCCCCCAATCCGATCCTGACCGTTCTCCGAACTTTCTCTAAGCGCATTCCGTATTCATGGCGACCATCAAAACTTGTTGTAAAGTAATTTAGCCAGCCAAGTGATTAACAACGGCCCGAAATGGAGGAAAGCCAAGGACGAACTTCCATACAGCCTCACTCCATCCGGTATTTCCTTCCTACGACTAATTTGCTAAATGCAATGGCCAAAAATAACGGGCTGAAAAGTTGGCCAAACTGCCGAAAATAGCTGCAAAAACTTTTCCGTGTTTGGCCATTGTTGACAAATGATTTAGTGACAATCTATTAAACGCTCGCTGATAGATGATTGATGACTTAGTCGTACACCGTCCACCGTTCACCGCCCGCCGCCCACCGCACCGCCCACCGCACCGCCCACCGGCCGGCTAAAAGGATTAAATTGCCAGCCGAACTGCACCACCTTGGATCATGAAATATGCAGGAGTTGGCCAACAAAAACTAGAGGATATACACTAGTACACCAAGGTGTACCTACAAATACGCGTTTATAACTGCCGCAAGAAATAAGGACGGAAATAGAGCGATTATGGCTTGTCCTTCGGGACCTGGCCGACTTACTTTTCGGTTTTCGACCCCAAACAAAAGACACAAAGAGAAATATAGCAGGAGGTCAAGCGCGGTGTTTCCCCTCGACTCGATCCGATTCACTTCGAATCGAATAAATTTAACACGACATCAAACACACAGATATTGGAGAGATATTGACCGACTTTCTTTAACCCTCTAACACGCATTTGTGAATAAATCATTTCCTATTATTACCAAACGTTTTTATATAAGGGGGTTTTAAAGGGTTTTTTGCCAACTTTCTAAGCTATCAATTAAATATGAATATAGTCAGTATCAAAACTTAGTCAATCTATTGTTCACTCTATTTTTGGAGGTAAAAGTTCTTACCTTAAAACATTTACCTATAAATATCTGGCTCTATTTTTAGCTTCTAAATAGCAACATTTTTGGTAATATTTCTTAATGTTATTATGAACCCTAGCCCATAAAAATGTCTTATAAATAGTTAGCACTATTTTTAGATTCTATGATTCTGAAAACTGTTTTATAATTTAAAAGTTCCTCAAACCCCAGAACAAAACGCCATGTCTGATTATTTTTAAATTTTGATTCGATGAAAGGTAAAAGTTCTGGGCTAAGGTAGTTAGGGCTTTACATGGGGGAATTGATTGGATCGAATTAATGCCAGACAGTCGGCTAAAGGTCGTAGGTTCGAGCCAGCGACGTTTGATTGGTTCCATCGATTGCCAACTGCCCCATGGCAACCCTGTAGGGTGGCCACCACACCCATAGTTCGATTATATATTTATAGATATAACTAAAAACTCACCGATTTGTGGCACATCGTACTGCCGTTGACCGCGGGCGGTGCGCAGCATCAGCTGGCTGGCTATGCTGTGGGACACAGGTGGCTGCGGTAAGTAGCCGCTTCCTGGCGATCCCACGGATCCAGATCCTGATCTTTTGTGGCCCGGATCCTTTTTGTCTTGTGACTGCTGTTCCGTCTGCTGTTTGGCTAGTCCATCGCCTGTTGTCTGCTTATTTGCGCCAGCGGCGGATGCACTAGCTCCCAGCTCGTTATTGGCCTTTTCGGGGTCCTTCGAGCCGGATCGACTGGAGGTCTTTAGATGCTTGCTGGCCGCGGGCTCCAATAGCTTGCCATTTCGCTGCGGCTTGAAGTGCTGGGCAAAGATCTGGCGCTGCAGCTGCTTCTCCGCCTCGGGATTATGGGCGATTCCTTGGCCATTGTTTCGTTTCCGGGCCCACTTTTGCTGCACCCTTATGTTGTAGTTTCCCGGATTGTGCCCTTTGCCCGTGTGCATGCCCTTCGAGGGGGCATCTCGCTGCTCCTGCTCCTGCTCGAAAAGCTGTTGCAGGGAATCGGGTGCGGCCAGCTCCAGCTGCTCCAGCGTGCGGTAGGGATTCTCCGGCAGCGGCTCCTCCTCCAGCCCGTGATACTGGTAGGCATCCAGCTCCCTGAGCAGCTCGTCCTCGCTGCCCAAGTGCGGCTCCTGCTCCGACTCCTGCTCCAGTTCCGAGAAGTCATCGAAGTCACCGAAGGAGTGCAGTGGCTCGTAGAGCGCCTCCGCCTGTTCCTCCCGCTCCGCTGGCTGCACCACCCGGCCGTAGTACTTGACGGGCCTGTTCTCTAGCTCTCGCAGCTGCTCGTAGTCCTGCTCCAGGCTGATCGGAGTGGGCGGCTGCTTTTGGACATTGCCGAAGATGTAGCCGCGGGCGGCCTGCTGCAGCAGGGCGGGGTAGTCGCCGACGTCCAGCTCCTCGCTGGGCTGCATCTGTATCCGGCCGGCGATGAAGGGGTGACCACGTCCATGGCCATTACCCGCCGGCTGCTCCGCCGTCTGCTTGGCTCGGGCCAGGAGCATCAGCCTTTCCCGCTCCAACTGGGCCATGTCGGCGATCTCCTTGTTCAGCCGCACGGTGGTGGCATCGAAGGCGGCCGCCGCCGCTGACCTGGGATGGCCATGCGAGGAGCCACCGCCCGGCGGAGATCCACCGGGATGCTGTTGGTGCTGCTGCTGCTGCGACGGAGCCGTCTGCCAGGCGGAGGAGGAGGAGGAGGCTCCTCCGACGGAGGGGCCCAACGCCTGGCTGGGCACCGCCTGGATGGCCTTGCCCTCGCCCAGGGACTTGTCCCCGTTGCCGCTCAGGTGGAGGGCATAGAGGCCGCCCTGGATGAGCAGGACGCAGAAGAGCGTCTGGGCCAGCGAGCAGAACATTTTCCGTTTGTTGGTCTGTCGCAGCTTCTCGATTAGACGGCTTATTTTGGCGGTTCTTTGGGGGGGATGGCGGGGGTGTTGACCAAAGGGGAAATTACAGTGGGGGTGGGTTTGCAAGGGGGGGGAGATAGAATGGCAGGTGGTCTTGAGGGGGGTTTTCCTCTAAATTGTTTCTTAGTCACTAAGTTTAGACCGCTCTTTTCGCACTCAGCTTTTGTGGGTCTTCAGGCCCCACTCCGCTGACCAACACTGTGCCGGCCTAAGCCTGGCATTGCACAACACTGGCCTCAACACTGGAGTTTTCCGATCCGAGTTTTCCGGTTTCTCCGTGTGTGTGTGTGTTGGTTTTTTTCCCTCTGGTCTTCTTCTTCGTTGTTTTTCTCGCCTTTCGTCGCCCTTTGTTGCCCTGCTGCCAAGTTTTGTTTTGCGTTAAGCTGTGAAGTTCCTGCTGCCTTAGACAAAATCAATAATCAATTGTCTACGCTGGCCGTGGAGTTTGGGTTTCGGGGCTCGAGAGTTTGGAGTTGGTATAGGTATATGTGGGTATGTGGCCGCTTGAACCTGCTTGGCCTCTGACGACCCGCCCTCGTTAGTTCTGAGGGCTAAACCTGCTAACAACTAGTTGCTGTCTTCCGTCGGCACTATTCGAATTTTGATTTGATTTTTATCGTACTTTTCTACACTGGACAGTTTTTTTTTCGGCTTTGTATTTTCTCGTAGGCTTAAGAGTTATTTTTCCGCGGCACTTTGGTTTTCCCCTTTTTCTCGTTTTGAGCTGTTCACTTTTTGTAACGTTTTTTTAACACTTTTTGTTTAAAATGCAAAGAAAATTGATGTATAATTTGTATATTTTTATAAGTAGTTGTAACAATAATTTGTTTTGCTTTTGTTTTGTTTTTTTTTTTCGTTTTGTTATTTATATTTGTTTAAGGAACTTTTAGCACTTTTTCGTGTTTAGCGCTCTCAGCTTGCGGCACTTAGTTTTCGTTTTGCTTTTTCATATAAACTACGTTTTTTGTTGTATATTAATTAAAATTCACAGTGTTAGCCATCAACTGAGGGAGAACAATTAACTGGAACTGATTTCTTTGCTTTTTTGGGGGAGTTGTGGTTGGATAACTTTTGCACACGAGTCACTGCACTTGGATGAGGATATATATCTTCAACATATTGTTTCGACTTGGTGACTTGGTTATTAAATTTGGTATTTGTTTTTAATTATAATTTTTGAAGTGAAAACTTTCCCTTGTTGTTTTTTTTTATTTTTGGGGGGCAAGTGTGTAGTGGTGTGTGAGTGGTGTTTTGTGGACTAGCTTGGCTTCTAGTGTTCTTGTGTCTTGTTTTTTGGTTCGACTGGCTCCAAGAGTGTTCCGCACGTTTGAACCGACGAGCAAGGACTCGTCGTGTCGTCTCAGCAGGATTTGACTGTTTGTCTGCCTTTTGCTTGGCCGCCTGACGCGGGTCCCTCTGCCGGCGTCGCAGTCGCTGCCGCAGTCGACGTCGCTGCCGCCGCTCAAGGCGTTTCGTATTTCCACTTTATGGCACTCGTACACCCACTCCCTTTGCGCCCCTCCTCGAATTTCACTCCTCTGGCTGCTGGGTCCTCTCGGCTCTCTCTCTCTCTCTCTTTTTCTCCTTTCTCCGCTTTCTCCTGCTCCTACTACTGCTTCTTCCTGGGCTTCAGCTTCAGCTTCAGCCACAGCTCCAGCTCCAGCTTCTTGTTGTTGTGCACTCGGCCAGCGGGAAAAAGTCGAGCTCGAAACGACTGTTCGCTCTATACTGAGCCATATAACCGCTCAACCACTTGTTTTCAACCAGCCGCATGTGTAGAGTTTTTCCCGAAGTCCCAAAGAAAATGAGAGAGCGAGAGAGAGGGAGCGAGAGAGAGAGCGCCTGCTCCTGCGCACTTTCCATCAGTAGCCGGCATCGTCGGACTCCCGTTTTACCCATTTCCCAGCTCCCATATGATTTGCGGTCGCCACTTTGCGTGGGCCGTCGGCATCCTTCGTTCCAAGGAGCATTTCCCCATTTCGAATCGCATTGGGTAATCCCATTTGGCCGTCATCAGCTGTGGCTCCGCTAATCCCAAATAGCCGCCGATTCAATCACTCAGTGCACTTTTCACAGGTAAAACCCGGAAACGTTGAGTTTTCCTGCCTGCATAATCAATGGTGGGAAAATTCAGTGAAGCCGCAAATTGGGTTAGTCCCGAGATAAGGATAAATAGTGATAGTGAGTTGGCAGACAGTTTGCGGGAATTTCACTAGAGTCATTCGTTTTAGCCAACAGAGCCACTTTTAGATAGTTGTACGCTTCTAATAAATATTTAAAATATATGGAATTTCATATTTGTTTTGTTAGGGCATTGTAGCACAATTTCTGATATCCATTTTCTGACGAAAAATTCCAAATCGGACCGCTTCAGCCAGATAATGTAACATAAATGTATTTATTTGCAGCCATCCTTTAATCATAGTTATTTGGTTAGATTGTAAAAATAAAACTTTCTATTATAATATGACTCGATTTGAAAGTCTTTTTATTCTTTTTTATTTTGAAATCGAATTTTTCTCCTATAAATTTTGTAGTTTAATTGTAAGTGTTATTTGAACATATATTCCTAAATAAAAATTTTGCATTGTGCACAAAAAAAGTTTATCTTGTCAAATCTATGTTAACATCAAGGACTTGTTTGTGGGTGAAGTTTAATAACCAATTATGTTAAGCATGTTAAGTTATTTTATGTACGAAGTACTTAAATCATTTTCAGAGACAATCCCATCTTATCTTCTTAAGTTTTTCCAAATCCCCACTTTAATAAAGAAAACCACGCTGATCGTTTAGTTCCAAAGAACTTTTGAGTCGCTTCCCCTACATTTCGAAGTTCGAAAAACGATGACGCCCACATGTTGGTGACAAAAGCCAAGCCAGAAACCAAAACACAACTCATGCAGCAGCACCGAATTTAGAATGTGAATAAAAGTGAACACATACATAGGTTGCAAGCCATTAAGGCCGCCGACCAGAATCCGACCCTATTCGAGAATGTAGGGGAAGTCGAGGAGAAGGAGGAGTAGGAGGGGGAGGAGCAGGTCCTGTCGATTCGGGTGAAAGCCAACATGAATGAAGGAGAATGTCCTGAGAAGAGAGTCGACATCGACATCGTCATCGTTGCTTGCAGCCTGCTTTTCGCTTTTCGTTTTTTCTTCGATTTTTGCCGTTGTTTTTGCTGTTGCACACACGCCCCATGTAGGATTCAACAGCTGGGGGCGGGGGGCGTGGCTGGCGGACCGAGGACCAAGACGAGTCCTGTTTGTCGTCACAATGTCTGTGGCTTTTACGTTTTACGAGCGAGCTATAATATATTCGCCGCACCGAAGCGAGGTGAATTGAATTGAATCGGAAACTCGGTGCATGTGAATGGAATTTTGCCCACCGTGTGGAGAGTTTTGAATGGACGAGAAGGTGAGTATACGCGACAAAGTTTCCATGACTAAGGTGATTGTATGCTTACAAGTCATTCAGAAAATGAGTTTAGCCTATGAAAGCAATTTTTTGAAGACACTTGATTAGCAATAAAACGAGCAGAATTCACTTGTTCAAGACATAATGATGCTATAATATTCTTTTTTGGATAAAATAATAATTAATAAAAATCCAATTTAAGGAAATACCAGTTTGTTATTCATTTTAACAGTACTTTTTTAATATGATAAATTAAGTCTTCTACGGTACACCTGCCAAAGAGGGAACTTTCTATAAATTGTTAAGCATTATGCCAGGTTATAATATTTTCCATGAATACATAAATCGTTTCAACACTAGAATAACATAAATTAATTGTTTATTAAGGAAGTATAAAATGATGAATATTTGAAGACTGTTGTATAACCCATACAAAAATAGTTGGGATTTCCAAGCTCGTAGAAGGTCTCCACGCGAAAAGCCGGCTTGGGCTCACTCAATTTGTTGCATGGCCCAAAAGTCTCCACTTGCGTTGAAAAACTCTACGGCAAAACGGAAAACAGCTGAGTCTGGCCAGGACCTTTGCCCCTCTCCCCATTGTCCGCAACTCGGTCCTACCACAAGCCAAATGCACTTGCTGGGCCCAGAGCGGATTGGGGGTGGCCAGGCAGGGATTTGAACGCCCGGGGGGACGCGAAACAGATGATTCTGCCTGGCGAAGGCGCAGGCGCAGACTCAAGAGACGACTACGTCAACAACAAAAATCGAAGCCACGGATTTTCATTCAGGAGATAGCCCCCCAGCCCCAGAAAGTTGGGGAAACCAGAGCGCGAGCCCTCGAGCAGGGATATGGAAATGGGAAATGGTAATAGGTATGGGGATTTGATGGGGGAGTGAGGCATATGGAGAAAATCACCGCCTGGCTGGCGTCGTTTTTCAACGATGTCGCCTCCCGATGAGCCGAGGAATCAAGGAATCGGGCAACTATATGGCCGAGGAATCAAAGGGGGCGGGACGAGGACGATGGGTGCGCCGCACGACGGTGACGCCTACGCAGCTTTGTGACGTAAGCAGGCTCACAGGACCTCCGAGAACCGAGGACCGAAAAAGCCGAAGCACGAATCTCGAAAAGCGAGTGCAGGCTGGCCCCATTGTCTTGGCCGGTGTACTCCTTGGACCAGCGATTCATTGGCGATTCCACAGTTGGGCTCGTCACAGGCCCTCCTCGTCGTTGTATCCTTTTCGTTCTTTTGGTCCTTTGCACCTTTGCACTTTGAACTGGGGACATCGTAAGGGTTTTGTTGTGTGGGCCCGGCTTAAATGGTATATCGGATCTATGCAAATACAACCAAAGGTTATATGGGAATGTTCTCTTTTTTATTTGCAGTATATTTTATGAGTAAAATAACATGAATTCTACATAAGTATATTTTGTTGTTTAAAAATGATTTAAAAGACTTTTATTAATGGTTGAACTGGAACATTGGCTACATATTAAAATTTTTTTTTGTATTAGTGCATTCACCGAAACAAAACACATATTACAAATAGTACATAATTCAATGACTTTTTCACATTATTTGCCTTTACCGAAAATTTTACGAATAAATTGCTTACATAATGAATTATTTTTACAGCTTAGAACCTCAGTAAGCAAAGTATTGATAAGATGGGGGAATTGTAATTTATGCCTATTAAAAATTGGCTTAAAACTCATAATTGAAACGGTTATTACATATTGGTGTTTTAATTGCTCTTTAAAGTGTTAAGCACTTTATCATAAATTTTAATAGCTTTCAGGCAATGATTTAATTGCAAATGAAAGGTAACATAAAAAGTGATAGTTTCTAAATTGTTTATCAATTTTAAAAGTTTTGTATTACCTTGAAAATGGTATATACAAAATTGCAATTTTCTAGCCTTTGCACTTCTCATAACCATCATCCGACGGACTTAGATTGAATTCAATTAGAGACTTTTCCTCCCATTCCACATCTCCTGCCCCTTGCCGTGATTTATGGTGTGCTTTTAATTACCCGCAGAGAGCAAAGTTCAATTACAACTCCCATAAGTATGCTGCACTTTATCGGCTCTAATCGGTTGACTGATGGTAGATGGTCGATGGTCGATGATGGGAGATCGACTAAGCTGTTTATGCCCAAGCCGCCACTTGCGGATGACAGCTGTGGGCTCTGGCCTCCGACCTCCAATCCTTGGCTCCTGCCGTTCACCTCCCATTTGTACTGGGTTCCCGGCTGTGTTGTTGACATTGAATTCCGTGGGATATGGCCAAAATGCTATAAATAGACAACCAGCCGAGTTGAATTGAGTTTCCTTCGACGCTCGGCGCTTTTCCTTTTTGCGCCGCCTGTCTTTCAGACTTCGTCCGCAGCCAAACAGGAAATTGCATGGATTCTAGGAGGCGCTGCCAAGACGCCATCAAAGCCGTTGATTAAAAATTGAACAGCAGAAGCGACGACGACGCAATAGGAGCAAATAAATAAATATGAACATGGAGATGGATGTGAATGTGGAGTTGCCTCCTGGCCAAAAGGAAAATCTCGTTGCCAACGAATGGCCGCACAGACAAAATCAGACTTCAAGGGTCACTTCCGCTTCAAATGGCAAATCGGGTTTATGCCTGCCCACTGCTCATCTTGATACAGACCCCTTTTACCATAACTCCCTCGATCCCGATTCTCGAATAAAACATGTCTCCCGACTACGAAGAATTTTCCTAAATTAGTTTCCGGACAAAAATGCTTGTCGCTCGGCGATTTTTCAAGCCGCTTGTTTTGCGTCGCTCAACTGGAAACATTGACATTTTAGGGTTCTAAGGAAGAGCCAGCCCGTGGCTGGCATTTTCCAAAAAATCACTAGCACGAGCATTAAGAACTTAATCTCCAAGTGCCAAAAAGGTTGATTTTTAAGCATATCTAATGCATATCAAAGACCCAATGTTCCAAGAACTCAGTTGAAGCATAAAGCACTGCTGCTATGCTTGATAGGTCGCCCTAAGCTGTAGAAAAATTTGGAATCGGACTATATTATATTCATAAAATGCATGTCTTAAAAGTAATATTAAAAAATAAATAAATAAGATTTATATAAGATTTGAAAATGTATAAATAATTTTAAAGCATCACGAATATTTCAATTACATATTTAATTCTACAAATATTTTTGTATTTTATATTTTATTTCACAAAGTAATATCTATATTAAACCTTTTTTTTAACCCTAATTACTATGAATACATTTAGTTTCAATTTGTAGTACAGCTCTAAAAAGATAAATTTT